GAGAGAGAGAGAGAGCAATATTCAATGAGAGAACATGTTGAAGTACATTACTTTTGCACATGGGAGTCTGAAAGGTTATACATGTGCAAGGCAGATCCTCAAATAGTGCTCTCTACTTCCCATATTGACATCACAAATTACAATACCAACAGAACAAAGCCTGTTGATGCCAACCACAAATCGGAATGTTGATAATGCTCAATAGTTAGCATTGCACCATCCTTGGAATCACTCAACCCAGAATTCTCAGAAATGTTTTTCTTTTTTCAGTATGTTTTTCTGATTAAGGCCAATATGGACCGAATCCTTATGAGCAGAAGGCTTTTATGTAATTGAAACACCCCTCCAGTAATTAGATTTAGAAAAGGCAAAACCCCCCAGTATTTATAGCGAAAATCTTCCCAAGAAGCTCATTTTTCCTCTGATCTTTGTGATTTTTTCACAGACATAAAGAACATAATGTGTTCCTAAAGATCAAAATTTCAATGTTAGTGGACAATATCTACTCAATCTCAAACTCAAATAAGATCATCTGTTACCCTTTCTAGGGTTGATTAAGTTTTGAAACTAATATTTTCAAAAAAATGTTAAGGTTCAAGAAGACAGCCTATGAGCAAGCAATTAAACAATCTACATGGAGATTGTGATGTTATAGAAGTATAATGCCATCCAACAAAAGTTAGATGATGAAGATTGTAATCACTGTGGATGCCCTGCCTTTTTATATCATTCACATGGAGTATGTCACCCAACCATTCCACCTCTCGGCTTTCCTGCCCTGGCCCAAATCTGGGTCCATCCTTTGGAAAGCAACAAATGCGGCCACCCTTTGGACCACTTGGAAAGAGCGTAACAACAGAATCTTCCAAAGCCTTTATGCCCCAATCCATAAAGTTTAGGTAACCATAAGATTATCTTCTCGGCCACCAACCATAGTCGGTTCCGGCATCGGTCGCCCTCGGATTTTATCCTTAACTGGGTCAATATTCTTCAACATCGGCCTCTAAAGATCCCTCGCTCTGCTCTATGGAGACCACCCGAAGGGCCAAGATCAAACTCAATTTTGACGGTTCCTCTTAGACGGCCTCAAGCTCTACGATCACTCCTGACTCTACGATCACTTCTTGCCAATCTGCTCCCCCTTGGAGATTTGGCAAATCTTTGATGACATGCATATGCAAGTCTCTTGGACTCATATCGAGAGGGAGGCCAACCAGGCGGCGGACGCCCTAGCTAAACAAGGAGCCACCTCGGAGTAGCATTTCACCAGCTTTGCCTAGCTTTGTTGCAACTTTTTATTTTTTTAGCAGACAATTCCCTTTCTTGTAATAGTTGTAGTGTGCTATAAGTGTTTGCCACCTTTCTCGGTGATTGTTTTGACCGTCGGGGAGCTATGTAACTTTTCTCTCTTTCAATACAGCGTTAACAGTATAAAAAAAAAAAGAATATAATACTCAAAGTTCTTAATTTATGAAGAAAAAAAAATCTCATAATTGTATTTTCGTTGAGTTTTGATCATGAAACTATGAATAAACAACAAAGAAATTCCTCTCATGGTGTAGCCCTGACTTCATCATCGTCGACGTCAAAGCCTTTTCCCACCTAATTGGGGTCGGCTACACAAATCCTGATCCACCATTCTGGTCTATTAAGGGCCATGAGTCACATAAAACATACTAGAGCGAGAAACCTAAAATTGTTTGCATATTTTCAAATCTAAACAATATCACATTTGCAAGTATTTGAACAGAGAAATATTTTTTTTTAGAAGAACACGGAGAAACGTTTTAGAGAGAGACTTCCAATTCCAAGTGTCTGCGGGCTTTCACTGATCTACTAGACAGGACTTCAACAACTTTGCAGAAAACGTTTGTGCGGCCTAACGAGTCTAAGCCCTAAAACCCATGAAAACTATAAAAGGAATTATTTGAAACTCAAAATTTAAGTTTTAGATAGAGAAACCTATGTTTGTTTGCCTGTTTTTCTACCTAAATAAGCAAGATTTGCAAGGAATTACTCAATTCATGAACATAAACCTTAAAAACCATGAATGATTCCTAAATTGGTGCTTATTTGGAAAATACACAGAACCTTCTAGAGAGAGAAGTCCTAATTTCTGGCATGTAAGCATATACTCAACAAAAATAAAGCACAAATTCACAGGGCAAACAGAGATGCGCATGCCATACAGAGAACAGCATATTGCTTAATAAATTAAAGACAAAAACAATAAGGCACCGCCCCATGGTACTGAACACAAAATATACCAAAACACGTTACAGAAACCAGAAGAGAGTGAAAGAGGAATAAAAACAAGTTGAGAGAGAAATAGCCATATGGAGAGAGAGAGTACTTACAGGGTCTAGGGCATTAGGGTTAGGGCCATAATCCTGAGTGAGGAGGAAATAGGCTGCAACTGCAGTGGTCACTATTGCTACCCTTCTAACCAACTTGTCTGTCTTAGGATCCATTCTCTCTCTCTCTCTCTTTCTATTTGTTGGGACGATCATTCTTATATGGGTGTCGTCTCCATGAGGCTGCAACCTTAAACAATCCAATTATTAATATATAATTTTGATGTAAAATATTTTCAGGATTATTTCAAATTTTATTTTCATATCTAATTATAAAATTTCAAACTCTAAAAATAAAATTTCAAACTCTACAAATGGTTAAAATCAAGTAGATCTATAAACATACCAAAATCTTGAAAATAGACGATCTAGATAATATGTTATAAGATGCACTATTTTTTAAAATCAAAATCTTTTTTTTTTTTATAGTCTCATATCTTGATGATCAATTAAAGAGTTTTTCAATATTAAAACAACTTTTTTTGGATGGATTCTTGAGGTGCATAGGGAGTTCTACATTTTAAGGTTGCAACATAAATTTTTTCCTTGTTATATACTTTGTTAGCGACTGGATTTTAAAATGCCAAATGATTGCTCTTGTAGAAATAAGGTTGTGGTACTCTCCTTACATTTTATTTGGACGGTATAATTTTGATACATCTTTTAATACAATGAAAATATTTATATAAGGGCGAGGCTCTAACCAATTAAAATAAGGTGCACATAAAAAATTCAATAGAAAAGGTTATTTCGATCCCAAATTTTTTCAAATGGATCATCTTGATGTATTGACATGAGGAAAAATGGATTCCAAGTCTTGAAAACAGTCATCTTGTAATGCATTTTTTTATCGTCAATTCTCAACATTTTTGAAGTGTTTATAGATTTGCTCAATGTATACTAAATTTGAAACTTTAAACTCTATAATTAGATATGAAGATAAAGTTTCGAGCCATCGCAAAGATTTCTAGTACTCAATGCTATTTAAAGGTACATATTACTTTGATTGTTTGGGCCTTTGCTCTATACATAGGATAGTGTCTAAAATACACTATCTAAAAAAAATAGCTGGTGTAGATTAATGAAATCTTATTTCTAGAAATAAAGTTGTAATTTTATACAAACTTTTTCTTTTTTTAACTAATTAATTTTACTTAAAGAGTGACTTAAAACAAAACTTTAAAAAGTGGGCTTGAGAAAAAAAAACTTCAAGTCAAGCCATGCTTCTACAATATCTGGTCTAGAGGTATAAAGCATTCATTTTAAAGATGGATGCAAATAGGTGGTCCATCTAAAAACAATTGTAATTAACGGTCCAATTTTTTTTTAATATAATTATTATTTATAGTTTTCAAATTTTGATTTTCTTTTTTTTTTTTTCATATTCATGATCTCCATGTTAAATATTATATATTCTTTAAAAATTAAGATCAAATTATATTTAAAAAATATATTTATTGCCAAGCCAGCATTTCTACAATAGGGTGGTTGGCCACATAGAAACTGTGTCCAAATAATATTTGAGAGTCGAGAGGCTTGTTCAATTTTTGAAAGATGAGATCTAAATAATTCAAAATTAAAATAACATGTTTTGAACATAATAATCTGATCCCAAAAGTTCATAGAAAGAAATCACTTTGTTTGAAGGAGTATGAGTACAGTTTGCACCCTTGGAACATACCAGCCTCTTTTTTTCTCTTTACTTTCTACTTTTTGTGAAATGCAGGGAAAACCCCATATCTCCTTCTCATTATTTTCCTCTTTGTGGAATCTCTGTCATTCATATGATATGAGTAGCACAAGCTTGTATTGAGCATTTTCTCCTTGAAATTATTCATAGAGGGGTTTTATAGGACTCTTTATTAATTGTGTATTCACTAACCATCTTCACTTTTTTTCAATAGTTGTATATAGAAATTACCCATGCTTTTACTATTAAAGTTTGGGATTGTATAATGAGACCATTTACATTTGATAGAATGAGGTTCCAATTACTTATAACCAATGGTTTAAAAAGCGGATCGGTGACTTAGATCGGGCACCTAAAAAATCGATTCGGATCGACGAATCGGCGATCCGGATAGGAAATCGGGTGAATCGATCAGAATAAAACTTAAAAAAAATCCGAAAAAATTATTAAAA